AATTTGTGTTTATTTAATTCGTGTAGCCTAAATCCAACAAGAGGTTCTGTACAGTCTTTCCCGTCTGAGCTCATCTGTATTTTGTGCTCACACCCAGGCGCAGCGCAGCCTATTCCTTCAGTATAAAGCAAAGCCTGGCATTTTACCCATAAGAAGAACGCGATGCGCGGCTTGATTCAGCTAAAGATATCATTTAATAATATATAATCACTAATACATAATTAATATATAATCAGACTAAAGTATCAAAGCTGCCCACGCATGTAAAACAAATATTAAAGCATAAGCTCATTTGTTTACCCATGAAAAATCTAGCTTAATTTTCGTTTGCCCGTTTGCCAAACAGAACGAAATAATAATAATAATTATTATTATTAGCCTATTAGAACATCTCTTTATTTCTTTTTTTTTTTGTTCGTATTTCGATTTGTTGTTAAATCAAACTTCAGTCATTCAAATAAAGAAATATTAAGCCCAGAGTCGATTATTCAAAAATAACCGTTTTGATCTGATCATAGCCTAAACGAGTCATGGGTCTGAGTGCAGTTATTGGATAGCACTATATTGTAGACAGATTGGAGATTAATCCTAATAAACATGCCGCTACAATTAAAACCATTACATTAAAATACATTTAAAACAGTGTATTTCAATAATTTCAGCAGCGTGCAGATCCTCGTTTATGTCAGACTGTGGCGACAGCAGCGAGGACAGTCGCTTAGCTCGCTCACATATACCATATATCTATAATAATGGGAAAACATCGTTTTTATGACATATGTCGTTATTAATTATTATTCTTAAAACGAGAAAAGATGTCGTTAAAACGACATATCTCGTTATTACGACATAATTGAGTGGAAAAAAAATGTGTGTGGCAGCAATGCGTCACCGTAACAAGCAGCATTTGTCTCAAACTTTCCTCATCTGTATCATTCACAGCCAGAGGTGTGTCCGGGTGAAGAGGCCCATCTGATTGATGTGGACAGCGACTTCAAGAAGCCAGGAGCTGGTGGAGGAGGTGGAGGAGGGTTTATGGCTCCCGCTGTGGGCATGCCTATGCCAATGCCCATGCCCATGCCCACAGCTTTCAACTACCCACCGCCCAAAGGAGCTGTAAGACCAACCACTGACTAACTCATTTTACTTGACCAATCTAAGAAGTCTGATTGTTTGGCTGTGAGATGAGATCCATTTAAAATAACGTTTCCGCTACAGGAGCCCTTTAATGGTTCTGTTGGCACCTATGATGGCTTTAGCAACTTCCAGCCTCCAGTGAGAGGAGGGCAGCCCCCACAGCTGCCCAGCTGCCCACCCACCTATGAATCTGTAAGTGCAAGTGATCATCACTCCTCCCACCCTTCCAGACAGACGGAGACGACCTGTTCACCTTGCAGGGAAGAGTAGTTTATTCCAGTTCACATGCTGTGTTAGTCCTGTTCTGTTGTTGTCAGTCTTCTGATCTCACACAGGGAGCCTCCACAGGCATGTGCTACGGGCTGCAAAGGATCGAAAACACTACATTCTGATCTCTCTTTCACCAAGTGTATGGCTTTTTTGGGGAAGTGCTTTTAAGTATTTAAGTAGACATGCTATATGTGAAAATGTGCACACAAATATATATTGAAAAGGTGAATCTCATATGGGTTGTCAAGAACATGTCTGGCAAAATGAAAAGAAAAAAGTAGTATTTTGCATAAAGAAACTGAAGCATTTCGTTTGGATCAGTAATACATTATATTATTATTATTAAAAATGAGACGAAAAAATATGAATTGTCATGAAAATATTATCACACAAAATGTTTCATTGTCTTTATACAAAAATGCAATATTTTTTCTTTTGATTTTGCTTTTCGTGACATTCACCTTGAAGCATTTACCCCAACAAATCCTCAACAGGAAACCTTCCTATTGACAAACCATATTGACAACAGGGGCCTCATTTATAAAACACAGTACGATCAGATTTAATCCTAAATTCCATGGATTTCTGAGTTTAAAAAGGCAAAAACTGCAAAAAGCATTTTTATGCATAGCCAATTGAAGAGCATGTGTACAGCTTCTTTTGTACACATATATATCAGTAATTAAAATAATCCAGCATTGATTATGAAAATGTAAAGATACACAGACAATCACAATATGCATTAAAATTATATGTGAAAATTAGCAGCTGTTTTTTGATAATTATGTCACTGCAATTAATTCATTAATTGTATATAATTTCCTGGAATTCTATAAATTCCTAAAACAAAAAAACAAGGATATAGGGATATTTATGGCTGTTCTGTAGATCAGCTGCGATCATCTGCTTGTTCATATTACATTTGAATTTAAGGTAAACTGCAATTTATAAAGTGATGCATTTAGCAAGTGTTTAAATTTCTTTGTGTGTATGGACGTTTAAGAATTTAGTTTTATAGGAACATTGTGGAAATTGTTATACTTTAACGTTTAGGATCGTTCTGTGCGCACCTTTATAGATGAGACCCCAGGTGTGCAAATATTAAGTACATTCACTCACTACGGTGGTCTGTTCTAACTCACAATGCACGTCTCATAATTCTAATCCTTCACAGTATCAGCACAGCATTATAGATTATTTGCAGTAGTTGCCGTGTATGTATGAGATGTTAACATGTTTTCATGTGTTTTTTTAAGATCGATGAGTTGTCTGTCAAACCCTCTAATTCTTCCCAGGTCATCCCAGGTATGTGCTCTGTCCTAATATGATTTTTTTATCACTTGTATTATGATATTTTTCTTTCTAAAAGCTGTGTTTTCTCTCCAGGCCCAGCCCCGTCTGCTCAGTTCTATGACAATTCTACCCTTCCTGAACTTCCGTCTGTTCCCGACACACTCCCAGCCTCCTCCTTCGGAGCGAACGCCAACACATCAGACGACATTGACTTTGACGACCTGTCACGGCGCTTTGAAGAGCTCAAGAAGAAGACCTAATTACAGAGAGCACATCTGGGAGTCGGAACATCCGTCTCAGCTGCCACATGAGAATAATCCAACGTACCCTGTCCATATTCACATACTCACAGGTCTTCTGGTGGAGGTGTAATATAATACTTGTTACTTAACACAATGAAGGATCGGATGCTGTATAGACACTTGTGAATGGCAGTGGCAGACATTTATACGCTCATTTTAGACTTTCACGTAACATGGACTGTTGACAAATCGCCTGCTCTTTGAATGAGCACTTTGCTTAGAGGGCCTTGCTGACAGCTAAATTTAGTTAATCATCTGTAGTGTAATAATCTCTGCGCCTTGTATGACCACCTGAGATGTCTATTGAATATTTATATTGTAGATTTTGTTAACTTTCCCCCTTTAAAAAAACAATGTCTAAGTTTTTCCCCAGCAAATCAGAAATCTCTATGACTCCTCTAGGAAAAAGCAGGTATAACCTGTTGCCATTATTTACACCCAGAGTTGTGCAATGAACTATGAACCTGCAAACAACTGTATGATGTCGTGGATTGTTAGTGGATCACAATGTTTGTGCAAAATGACTCTGGCTTTTTGTTATTGACAGAATGCGTTGTGATGGGATGGTTTGGTGAGCTGAGCACAGAATTGAAGAAATGATTGCTTTATTTCAGCCTCTCATTTAACAAATCATCTCTGTGTCCTAAAGTTAAGCATTTCCCACTTTTTCTTTTAATGTAGTTACTCCTGTCAGCCGTCTTAACTTGACTCAAAATGAAAGGCTTTGTATTTTTGTCTACAGTTAATAACACTCCTGTTTCTAGTCCTGTCTTTGTGTGTTTCTGGACTGAATTTGCCTTAGTTTCCACATCTCAAGCTGTGTGGCCTTGCTGTTCCACACCTTTCTCTGGGAAATGTGACTTTCCTGACAGCTTGTACCATGAACTCCACATTTGAATAAGTATTTACATGCTTATTCCTTTCTTGGTGGGGGTTTTTATCATATATCATCGACTTATTTGTTGCAAGATTTGACTGTTTAAAGTGTCAATGTCTCAAGTGTTGAAAGTGTTGTTTTGGCTGCTTTCTACTTGGTTTTATAACACTAATTTGTGTTTTCTCTTCTCAAATCACCCAAATACAAATCTGGCAGTGTTTAGGTATGTTTGATACTGACTTTAGCTTGCATTGAAAACATATCTGATGCCATGTAATAAAGTCTATTTGCTCATAACATACTTCTCACCCAAGTAATGATTCATTTAACGAGTAATCTTAATTTTTTCAAACGAAAGATACCGCAACATGAACTTTACTAAACTGCTATAACAAGTTTTTCCATTAATTAATACAGCATGAATACATATAAATGAATATATATATATATATATATATATATATATATATTATTATTTTTTTTTTAATAAGCGTTTGGCTGTACTTGGGATGTTATAGCGCTCCATCGGCTTTTACATTTTAAAACCACTAGAGGGTGAAGTAACAACTAATAATAATCTATTACTGTTTTTCTCAATCGCTTTATTCTGCTCTCAAATGAGATTTCCCCCACATAACAGCAAGATCTCTGAAAACGTGTATGGTTCACGCAAGGTTTGAATTTTTATCCTATTAAGCAAATTGCACGTGTTTTGCCATGTGTGCAAACGTGTAATATATACTATATGCACTTGGCTTGTTAAAAAAAAACAAAAAAACTGACGAGTTAATTCTCAGTGGAATTGTCATACTCTTCACAACTTTTAAAAATGGTTTCATGTGAGGCTACACATGTAAAATGTATTGATTTTCTCAGTAAACTTTTACCTACTGTTGAAAAAGCTCGGTGTGGTACACAATAGCATTAATCTAGTCAGTGTCAACAAAGTAGAACAAAACATTTTTGACCAGCACAGCTCTCATTATAGGGAAAAATAATGCATTGATATTACATATTTCAGTGTTGTTATATAAATTATACTGCAAGGTCATATTTTGTGTATAATATAATTATTTCTTCACACAAGCCTTACCAAATACTCTCATCTGAGGGACTGTGAGAGACATGGGTTATTTTGGCATATAAACTTCTGTAAAAGGGCTGAGATTGCCACATGCACATCAATGAGCCTGCATTTTGGCGATTCATTCACAAGCTAGATAATGAGCAGTTTGGACAGCTCCAGCACTCCCGTTTTGGTTAGGAGGGGAGGATGAGGTGCACAGAGACAGGGTCACGGGACACAAACCCACTGCCTGTGAGCGTCCCTGCAGGATCTCACCTCTGTGAAGTATAAACACACAGACCCAGAGGAGATTTCAGAGGCCAGGCATAGTGAGAGAGCGTCTGCATGTGACTGCTAACAAATGTGGCCTGAAGCAGGACACAGTGAGAGAACACAGTGACGGCTGCGGCTGAAATGAGTGGATGTACAAGTGAGGCAATGACACACCTTCCTAAAAATAGTGCGCTGTAGAGAACGTGGGGGAAGTATCTTCAGCTATGAATCCTGGTCTTGTGTTGCCAGTACCAGCTAAATGTTTACTAGCTGATTTAGAACATTTCACAATTGTCAGTCACTGAAACTACAGTATTATCTATAGATAATGATTTTTACAGATAGAACATATGTAAATGAGTAAATGATGAGTTTGCAAGAGTATTTGTCTTTGTATATGATAACTATAACGTGGTGCATGATGACATATTTGATTTTTTTGTTTAACTAACCATTAAAACAAGACTATGTAGTTAATTGTGTTAAAAATGCTTATTTTTGTAATCACTATTTTTCAAACATGTATTTATTTATTTTTTTAGAAATAAGTCTCTTATGCTCACCAGGGAGGTATTTATTTGATCAAAATATAGAGAAAATCAGTCATATTTTAAACTATTACAGAATTTTTAGCAGCCATGATTTCTGTCTTCAATGCTCAAAAAATATTTAATATTTTTTACAAGTGTTGAAAACAGTTTTTGCTGCTTTATTTTTGTTTTGTGATACACTACCATTCAAAAATTTGTGGTAAGATTTTTCTTTCTTTCTTACTTTTGTTTGTTTATTTATTTATTTATGAAGAAGAATTTAGTAATTTTATTCCGCAAGGACTCATTACATTTTATTTATTTTCTTCATTCATTCATTTAATAATTAATTAATTCATTTTTACATTTATTAAATTGTTAATTGTTAAAAATGCTTAATGTTTTCTACAAAAATATTACGCAGCAAAAACTGTTGAACAGTAGTGTATATTTGAAAATTGCGCTATGATGTTGATCACAGTTGCACTGAATGTCAAATATATTTTGATTGATACACTGAAATGCATTGGAAAATAATTTATTTATTGAAGTTATACTAAAATACATTTTATAGAGTATTTATAAATTACATAAATTAAACAGAGACATAATAGTGAGAATATTCAGTGTTTTTTTAATGTAATATAGTTTCAACATTGACACTGACCTACCCCTCATACTGAGATGACATTAAGCAAAGCTCAACAATTACAGCAGACACACAGCGGTACTATTTACTGAACAGTTACCAAAATGTGAGTGAAATGAGAATCTGCTCTTGTAGTAAATTAACCAAAAATGGCAATGTATAGAATGATACTGCCCACCAAAATGAAAATATGTTCATGTATCGTTAGACAGTAATTCTTAAAAATAACCTTGTGCCAATCTCAATTTGACCGGTTTTTTTAAGTGACATTATTGCCATAATCTATTAGAAAACCCTTTTTTCTGATTTGATCAGAAAACAAAAGTAAAGAAAAACCTGAGTGTGCTAAACTATACACCATTGTTATTGTAACAGTATAGACTAAATCAATAATATGTTGCTAGATGTTGATACAAAGATCTGTACACATAGTAATAATTACTAAAATATAAACATGAAAAATAAAGTCTGCCTACACAAATGGATTATAATCTGCAAGAGACAGTGAGACGCCAATCATTTGCATAGACATGAAAATGGCATCTTCTGTTCCCAACACCAAAATCTAGAATAAAATTGTGTGAGTTTGATGACTTCTCAAATCAAGCATCCTCCTTTACAATTTGAGATGTAATCAGGATATTGACCTCCCGGCGTATTCCTCACATTTTCCCTTTTGCGCTGTAAAATGCCAATAAAGCATTAATGAGATCAATGTTTGATATTGGCAGAGACAAAGTTCTTTTGGTTTTTGGTGTGCATGTTCTCACCCTGCAGGAGCAGTTCAACCTCCTCGCTGTTCTCCACAGCTACTGGCCTCAGGATCATGGCAAAGAAGATCGCCACAAATATCACCTGTCACCCATAACAGTTAGGAGGAGAAATCACACATGAGATCTCAGTTGTTTCTCCTAGACATCAGTGAGATTAAATAGAGAGCGAACTGAGACTGTTGTTTAAAAGAATAGTTCACCCAAAATAATGTATTCACTCATTCATACTCATTACTCAGCACTTAAGATAGAGCACATTAGTAATTTACTAGTCAACATCACTCATACTACACCAGTATGACTTTCTTTCTTCTGAGAAAACAAACAAAAGGAGACATTTTGTAGATTGTTCAAGCTGCTCTTTTTCAAGCAGTAATAGCATACCACTTTTAAAAAATGCACCTAATTTTAGTGAATGTGCACTTGCAGTGTACTTAAAATCTTAAAAGGGTGTTTTAATAGCAGATAATATCCATCACAATGAATAATACATTTTATTATATAAAATTAATGGCCACTTAAGTGTACAGTATGTAAAGATGACTGTTTCTTTACACACTATTAAAAAGTGCACTTTGTAATAATGTCAAATTAAAAGTTTTACTTTAAAATGCATTATGTTTGAATAATATTTTGTTGCATTTTAAAGCAGTACACTTTTTAATGTATTGACTAACATACTAAAGCACATGTAAAGTACTTGATTATAATTTTTAACTGTAGTACGTTATTCAACATTACAACATTTAGAGGTTAATTAATATATTTTAAATGTACTAAATTCCAACTTCATCATTTACAAATATTGTGTTGTGTAAATATATTTCAACAGAAATTACATTAAAGTATACTTTAGTTTACCATAAATGCTTAATGCTTGATGTAAAATCTGACACAACGCATTTTTACGCTCTGGCAGAGATTACGTTTTGACAAGTTTTTCCACACAAAGCTTTTATGGTGCTATTTTACCATTTTTTGGTCTGGACAGCCTTTGGTCACTGTATGCTGTTGTTGTGTGAAAAAAAAAAAAACTGGCGTATGAACATTCTTCAGTGTTCCTTTTTTTATTTCAGGAGAGAATGACAGACATTTGTCATTTTTGGGTGAGCTATTCCTTAAAAGAACACTCCACTATTTTTGAACATTTTCCAACTCCCCTTGAGTTAAACAGTTGAGTTTTACCATTTTCGAATCCATTCAGCCGATCTCCAGGTCTGGCGGTAGCACTTTTAGCTGTAGCTTAGCATAGATAATTGAATCTGATTAGACCGTTAGCATCTCGCTCAAAAATGACCAAAGAGTTTCTATATTTTTCCTATTTAAAACTTGACTCTTCTGTAGTTACATCGTGTACTAAGACCGACGGAAAATGAAAAGTTGCGATTTTCTAGGCCGATATGGCTAGGAACTATACTCTCATTCCGGCGTAATAATCAAGGAACTTTGCTGCCGTACCATGGGTGCAGCAGGCGCAATGATATTACGCAGCGCCTGAAAATAGTCCCCAGCATGCTCCCTGTGCAAGCAGGTGGTCACGTTGGTTATGCTGACGGAAGTTATACAATCAAGTCCTCCTGGGACGTTCGTACTTACGGAAAATGAGCCTATTTTAAAAAATAGTGGAGTGTTCCTTTAAAGTCTTTTCTTCTCTTAAGAAGAAGACCCCACTGGTTCTTACCTTAAGGGGCTGCAAGATGAAGATGCTTTGGACGAGAGATAATGTAAGAGTGATGACCCACTGTATGGAAGACTCCCTTCCATACTGGAAGCCATAAAGCAGGGTAAAGAACGTGGAAATACCACTCATGGCAAAAAGCAGGAACCAACCAATAAAGAGAAACCACCAAGGCAACCACCAACCCTGTTTCTTCTTCTGTACTTGCACAGATGGTTGGCTGGAACAACAACAACAAAAACAAAATCTGTTTTAATAGAAGAAACAGGATTCTTGCATTTCTGCTAAGAAGAACATCTGCTTATTATTGTATATTTCAAAGAACCAGCTCT